GTAAAAGTTCTTTAGAAATTCATGAAATGATTCAACAAACGTTCATAATTAGTCAGCTATACCTAATGCTGAAACAGATTATCTTGTACTGAATCTGACAATGGTAAAAGCAGGAACTCTTATAAAAATTACATTGTTTCAGTGAAATGGTTTATTCGTAGTTATTTTTTCATAAATATTCTTTTAGTCTGAATTTATAATCTGCCTGTTTGTTAAATTTCGTTAAAAACTTTAAAACTGTAATTTAATGCCCGTTGATATATTAACCTGAAGGAATATGTAGAGACATTAGGTTATTTCGAAGCATAAGATGAAAAATGAGCAATGCTCTCGCCGGGACTCGAACCACGGGTCTCTCGAATACGCGCTGAGTGTGTTAACCACTACACCACGAAGGCATGCTAAGAAGGCGAGAGAAATACATTATATACTTCCCCCTTTAAAGGACGACTGGGGATTAAGGGAATCAGTCACTAATTTCTGGTGGTAGAGAATCATCATCCACCGTTCTTTAGTTCGGGCGCCACTGTACAGTCATTAGGTTTTTTTGAAGTAGGAAAGATGAAAAATGAGCAATACCCTTGCCGGGACTCGAACCACGGACTTCTCGAATAAGCGCCGAGTGTGCTGAACACTACATCACGAAGGCATATTAAGAAGGCTAGAGAAATACCTTATAAATTGTATGAATAAATTAATCCTTAATTGTCAACAAGAATTAATTTTATAACTAATGCAGCTCGTTCAGAGACATTGCACCATTTTAAGGTGTACTTATTAGACATGCTTTTAACTGTTAAATACGACCTCACCAGTAAAATTTTTAATTACCTACAGTATTTAATTTCTAAAATCTTTTCTTCCAAGTAAACATTTTCATTACAAATTTTACATAATCTTAAAATTTAATGGTGGTTTTTTCGTGTTCTTTTAAGTAGCTCCACATATTGCGTTTCTGGACAAACGTTTCACGTAAAATTGCAAATAACTTGGTCTTTTTCGTGATCTTTGTAAAACATTAAATATGAAGAGTTTTTTTTTTTTTTTTTTTTTGAAAGTTTTATTTAGTAAGCATCTAAAAGTGTTTAAAATACTGTTGCGTGTGTACGGGTTCGTGATGAATTGAATGCACAAGTCCGATGAAAAATGAGCAAAATTTATTGTTATGACAACAATTTAAAACAAAATGCTTAAATTTCCTCAGATATTCGTACAGTATTACAATATCTTACAGTAGTTCTCTTTTAACTACTCAAACGTTCAACCGAAAGTAATTCAAAACAGTTAGAGAAAGTTAATCCGCGAATTCGCTACAGTCAACAAGAGCAGTTCGCTAAACACACGCTTAACTCTTTCGCATCGAGAGAGGGCAAAATCTCAATTCCCCAAACATCGAAAACGTCCGTATCTAAGAATTTCTCCTGGAATGCTTTTCCTTCCCCCATGACAAATTGAATACTACAGCGCTAACAATAGCCTTACTTAAGTAAAGCGAGAACTTCTTTCTTCGACGCTTTGACACTGTGTGAAGTTTCCCCTTGGGACGGGATTGCAACTTCGGGCATCAAAAGCTAAACACTGACAGTAAACAAAGGAAAGGAAGGAACAAAGGAAGCGACTTTTAGTAGCTTCGAAAGAATGACTGACTTGTGATTTAACAACACCAGCTGATGTCTGAATTGTCGGGCGTTTGGGACTACTTCGATGCGAAAGAGTTAAAACAACAACTAACTGAATCAAGAGGTTTTCCTCCATTTTATAAGCTTTTTAATCACGCGCGAGATTGTTCTAGCAATTTCTCGAAATCAAGAAGAGATATTTATTTGTTAAATGCTAAATGCACGCGCTCTTGTATTTTTAATTTTCCGGCTTAGCTTTCTTTTAATATTCGTCACGCGCTGCACTGCTCGGGGAATAAAACAATTTTATTTATAATTCTACTATATTAACTAATTAAATATCAAATCCGTAACAATACATTTGCTTATCAAGGTGCAAATGGAAACACTTCGTGTTTCAAACACATTTAGAAAGTTATTTCATAATTATACAAAGCCCTGAAAAGTGATCAGATTTAAGCAACTATTTATAATAAAAATTCCGTTTATGTTCGAAAATAGTTTTCATCTATAGACGCCTATAATAATCAACTGAATAGCAATTTTCGAGGTACACAAATGAAAATATGCTTCCAATTTTATATGTGTATCAAAATATGTAATATGAACTTCATTTTTGGTGATTTGAAAAATGTAATGTATAATGTTTTCTGCTACCCTTTATCTGAGCACAGAAAATCAGCTATCACATATTATCAATGACGTAAGGTCGCTGAAGTCCCAGTATTATTAAATAAAACTTTCAAAAACACTCTTCATATTTAGTGTTTTATACAAAGATCAGAAAAAGACCAAGTTATTCGCAGTTTTACGTGAAACGTTTGTCAATTACATCATTTACGATTATCAGAAATTTCAGTCTGAAAACGCTTTTTATTATTTTGGTTTATTGCTTCAAGTTCGAAGAAAACATAAGTGAACAAATTGAAAAACACGTTTTAAATTCATGTTGAATTCTATCATCTTAAGTAATTTTAGAAGCTACTTCATGGATACCTTGAAAGATATTTTAATAGTTCTTTCTCTTGAACAGTCCTAGAAAATATTTTAATTATTCTTGTAAGAGGACTGACTTGTAGCGATTTAAATTGGATTTGAATTCTGATCAAATTTGTTACTCAGTCATTATGTTAATTCTGGTATCGTAAAATTATCATATTTCATTTTACCATTATTTACGCTAGGAAACTTGCTTTTCCGTTTATAAGGTATTTCTCCCGTCTTCTTAGAATGCCTTCGTGGTGTAGTGGTCAGCACGCTTGACGTGTATTCGAGAAATCTGTGGTTCGAGTCCCGGTGAGGGCATTGCTCATTTTTCATGCCTCCTGCTTCAAAATAACCTAATATCTGTACAAAGTATATGAATCTTAGTCCTTTGTGCTGCTTCAGTTAATATACATTGACTAAAACATTTGTCATAACTGTTGGCAGAGTTACGATTTGATGGCCATAAATTTTCCTAGCTTTAACGATTATTTTAGCTATTATTAAGGTTAGAAGTGTTTCCTTTGTTTATATATAAAGAGAAATTTTCAAAAATTAGTTACATCAGGGAATGTTACAAAATAGAGAAAACAATTGGTGAATTTAACTATTAAAGATTACTAACAGGCAAACTATTTTTCCTGCATTCAAGGAATGCTTTACATAAAGACCAGTTTTCTCGTAAATGTCATGTAAAATTGCATTGTTCATTGTATCACCTTACATTGTGGCATTTATTTTTAAATTTTACAAAGAAAATGTTATTTTAATGTATTTTTTCTTTCTGCTTCTTTTCGCCATGAGGTTTTCTCTTTCCAGAATTTATGCAGATAGGAGTGGCAATAATTTTACTATAAATTTTAGAGATTTAAGGAAAAGAGTGTGAAGGTTTGATCTCCGTTCTGCAGCCCTGCCGACTGAATGAAACAGATGGTTAGCTAAGCTAGGAATATTTTAGACTTAGACTAGATATCCTATTTTATGTGCTCTAAGTTTGTAGTCATCTAGATAATCTTGCAGTTTATAGACAATTTAGTTTTAATCTGTTGGAATTTATATGCATTTTGAAAAGGAAACTTTGTGCTGAAATCAGGTCCAGGTTAGCTCATACATTTTAAGTTTGTACATTTTAATTTAATCACTTGCAATTCGTGAGGTAGTATAAAATTAAAACTCTTTTAATTATGTGTCTGTTTGCTTGATGATTAGCTACTCTGGTCATAACGAGACAGTTAACAAATGCAACACTGGACAGTTAACAAACGTAACACTTCATTTTTTATTAGTAATTCATTAGTTTAATTACTTCGATCCCACCGCAGGTCTACCATTATATATCTAGATTATACTAGTTTAATGTTTAAAATCAGTAAAAGCATCTGTAAAAGCATAAGCATCGAGCAAAAGCTCTTGTTAAAAACTGGCGTAAGCGAGCACGTATTTGAAGTTGAATTCTGAGAGTATTAATTTATACGTTTCAGGGACCCCAATCTTATATAGCTTTCTCATCCTTTAGTGAGGCTTTAAATATATTTAGCCCAAATAGCGTTAGCCCAGAGGAGCTATTAATTTTGTTTAGCATTTTGCGTTGATTCACTTTTCACACCGTTGCCACCAAATATTATCGCCATGTATTATATTTAAAGAAAATAAAAATGAAGGATCTGCCTGAATGTTTCTTGCACTGTGATAAAACAACGTTACCGAGAACCATCAAATTTTGAATGACGCAATCTTCCACCGAATATGGGCGATTTTACGATGAAATAAAAATAGCATTTCCAAACATTAAATATATTATTCCCGATTCCAAAAATTCGTGGGAAGTCATTTCGGCGATTCCCATCTTCATACGACTTTAATCAGCCAAAATATCAATTAAAAATATTCTGAAAGCGCTCATTTCATGGCAACAGTCTCGCGCGTTGGAGATGAAAATGCTTTATTTCGAAAAGTGTAGCTACTGCTCGTTTTCAAATCATAGAGTTTGTTAACGCAAAATGTTTAAGTACTACAAAATTTATATATGTAAAGAAGAATGTCTGCTTGTGTGTTTCTTTGTTTGTTAGCGTCATTGATTTCTGATCAAGTATGATCCCTTTTTTGCACCATTTAATCGACTGAAAGTGAATACAGGTGAAATATTGGATGGAACTTGAGCTTTTATGACCATTTGATTAGAAAGACGAAAATTATTCAAAACTGCGCGCCATTGTTGCCGATATAATGAGAATCAGAGTGAAAAATGTATGACTATGAATCGTATTTTTTGCCTCGTTACTAGAGAAGGATTACAGCATTATCGTTCTGTCGGTTGTTAGATGCATTACTCTCAATCTAACTTAACTGGCATTGGGTACTTCCGCTAGTAGCGTGATAAAAGGAATTCCAACGAAATAACAGTGTTGCCATTATAAATTTATTTTATCATACTAAAATCACAAATGTAAAGAAAATAGGTTTGTAAATTGTACATCTTCAATATATAGTTAAACATAAGTCTGAGACTCAATAAATAACACAGATAAAACGCTTCTGTCAGAAATGATCACACTGGGAAAATAATAACTTTCAGTTCTTCATTCTCTTTGCTGATCTGGTAGCGCAGGTCTTTCTGTCACCAGTCTTTGCATGAAATAAATAACTATCAACAAAAAGGAAATAAAAAAACGAAAGAAATAAACAGTGCAATAATTTAAAGCGAGTTTAAGCTCTCCTCTGGTACACATATCATGTGTTTTTGTGTCTGTTCTTTGTAGTAGCCTCACTTCCTCTTGCCGTATAACTGTCGAACTGTATTGTCTAATTCCTCTTGTTCACCCGTGAGAAGCAATGCGTCGACACACTTGGAAAAGTAGCTATTCTTGAAGCAGTTTGATCTGAAAAAGTGGATATTAGTAAGTATTTAATTGACTATTAATGCAACAATAGAATCATTAATGGTTAAATGAATAATATAATGTAACAATAGAATGTCAGAATTAAACGTACAAGATTAAAAGAGAATTCTCAAAGCTTAATTCAAATTAGGCTGCTTTTGAATAGAATGTATTAGATATATGACATCTGTGAAATAATATCCATAAAATAATTGAAAAACATCAAGGGTCATATAAATGCAATGAAAAACATAAAAGCCAAATGTCTACTTCTCCCTTAACTGCGGGAGATCTCGACAGGTATCTACGGGGCGGCAGGTACAATTCAGAACAATGGCTTTTTTTTAAGAAATAAGGACAACGCACTATGGAAAAGAAAGATTGAAGGACTAAACACATATTAACAATGCAACAATATATATCCTCCCTTTTAACTATGTACATTTGTTACATGTAAACTGGGGTTGATTCCCATTTTGTGCACACGCCTCATGGAACCACGTACTACACTCTCCAACACATTTCACCCACTTCTGTCCTGCAGTATGATCAAAATAGTATCCATCGCACTCGCCACGGTAATTTTCACTGTCTTCGAGATCCCTCGAGGTACTGGGTTAAATTCCTCCCTGACGTCTAGGTCCCTGTGTTGGTGTTTTACTGAGTAGTTGACTCCTGTATTCTGCGGATGTTATAATGGCTGATTCTTGTTTCTTTCTCCTTTTCCATACAGAGTGGTTCTATACTTCTGGTACAGGGGATAATTCCGAAAATGATGTAGAAGCTAATGCAGTAGATGGTGGTGATGACCTCTGGAGGTTATCGTCTTCCTCTACCATAACTGGAATGGTGCCATTTGTAGTAGACATGAGTTCATATTCAAACACATTGTCTTCCAAAATATCGGGATTGTATGGGTATATTCCACATTTTCGGAAGCCATTGGCAAAATTTGCCTGACTCGACTGTCGAGATCTCTCCGTAACTTACTGTCGAAATCTCGACGAGTTACACATTTCTATGAAAGATGGCAGCACCCGCCTCTGACTGGCTATGAAAACTTTTTGCGTAGACATCCATGTTCCTGAATGCCTGATCTCACCAGCCAGTCATTTGGAAACCGCCAAAAATCTAAGCCATCGTCCACATTTATCATCGTTATCAAAGCCAATCTTTTACTTTATGCATTGCAAACTATGAAGAATTTAGATGACAGATTATTAATATTTATTTTCTTGATCAATCTCTGACTTTACAACACTTTCGATTCACAATGACGCACTACACTCTTCGGTTATTCCAATACAGTGGTTTCCATACGCGACACCAGGTGCAGACCACTCTACTAAGGACTCCTTAAAAGTGCCAAGATCTCCCAAGTGTCGAAATGTCCCTGAACGACTATACTAATTTATGACTCCGAATGACTCACAGTTAGTTTGGATCACATTCAGAACTTATTAAAATGATCAACATCATCATTAAAATTGTGTTAGTGAATTTGTTACTTTCCACAAATTTCTATGGCATTCTCAATAACTTAAATCACATTTTGAGCTGTTTAGGTATGCAGTTTTACATTCACTCTCCGTATTTTTTCTCTATAAAAGGCTGCAAAAGGAATCTGAAACTAATAATATCCTGTTTTGAAAAAACTCCTGTTTACTATATGAGATCGTAGTCCTATATAAACTTAATATACTGTGTACATAATCTGACACGTGTGTTTAAGTAGTCCTCCGTAGGTTTAAAAATTGGTCATCTTATATATTATTTGAATATCAATTTTTAATATTACTTTGCGTATTTCAAGCTGACGTTTTACCCGTGTAGATTAGATATTCAAACGACTTAGTAGCTCCATCTTAGTGTTCCAAAGAAAGGGCTATTATCTAAGAAGGTTTAAAGAAAAACCTCAAACCTAACAAACTACGCAGTTCGTGTAGAAGGTATTTCTCTCGCCTTCTTAGCATGCCTTCGCGGGTTAGTGGTCAGCACACTCGACGCGTATTCTAGAGATCCGTGGTTCGAGTCCCGGCGAAGGTATTGCTCATTTTTCATCTCTCTTGCTTAAAGTTAACCTAATGTCTCTACAGTAGCGTCCGAACTAAAAGTATAGCGGATGATGATTCTCCACCACCAGGATTTGGCGATTGGGTTCCCTAATCCCCAGTCGCCCTTTAAAAGGGGGAGTATATAAGGTATTTCTCCCACCTTCTTAGCATGCCTTCGGGGTGTAGTGGTCAGCACATGCGGCGCGTATTCGAAATGTCCGTGGTTTGAGCCCCGGCTATGGTATTGCTCATTTTTCAAAATCTTCTGCTTCGTGTTAACCTAATATCTTTACATATGTACTGTAACATTATTTACCGATTCTTTTGGGATTTAACACTTGAGAGATTAATTAACGTGTATAATGAGCGGTCGCTACGAAATGCTTTCGATTAATTTCAAGAACTCTGTTCTTATATACGTTAACTAACATGTTTCCAGATGGGAATCGACATGAAGAAACAGTAAAATGGGTTGATAAATGTGAGTTTTTGCACACTTAATAGGATGCCTTGTAAGGTTAGCATTTTGTGATATGCATTTTTTGATATATTTTGTGGAACGCAATTTTGATTTGTCGTTTCTGATTAAAATTTTAAATACAATATTCTAATTTTCATTGTAATTACTTGGTAGAATATTAAAACATATAACAGTAAAAATCCAATTATCCGAATCAATTGGGACCGGACCCCATTTGGGTAATTGGAGTTTTTTCGAAGAAAGCATATACGCACATTTTAATTAATTGCTGTACGTATTGTATGTTGAAAATGGGAGAAAAAAAACTATTTTAAAGAAAAAGAGGCTTTCATCAATTAAAATGAAAAGGCAACACTTTACGTACATGTTATATGGCGTACTGTACAGTACTTATAAGTGCTGAAAGTCATGCTGAACATCTCGGTCAGAGTAAGCTGTCTGACGGACATCGTGCCCGCACTTAACATTTCTTATCCAGCCGTTACTTGCTTTAAAAGCTTGAACAACGAAGCTTCTGAGCTAAGATCTTAGCTTTCTCACAAAGAATAGGACCCAAGACTGGGTTTTCCATAGAACATTGCTGCAAAAACCAATTGAAAACGACATCTTCTAAATTTTTGTTTGCTGTTGCCTTCATTGATTTTCTTGAAAAACTGCCATCTTTGTTTTCAAGCAGTGGCACGAAGTTTAAAAATGTAGGTTTGCTCCTTTTAATGCCTAAAATCGTTGATTGTCCAAAACTAAGTTTCCCTCTTAATTTTTTTCTTAAATTCTGAAAGCGTTTCGGAAAGTCGGAGTTCTGATAATTATAGTTAATTGGAGATTTGGATAATTGGAGATTGATAAAAAAAAAAAGCGCTACTAGCGCATTTCTGCGTCAGAGAGAAACAAAAAAATTGCTGATCTGCGCATGTGCAAGAAACAAACAGTTAGCTACCTCTGCATGTGCGAGAATTAAGCGATTAACGATCTAACTTGTTTTTTGAAATTTGTGTCAATATAACTGTTTTTCATTGTAAAATACTCATTATACTTACTATTTTCAATCTCCTATCAAGGAAAATGAGGCTACTGTTGACGTTTGAGTCATTATTGGCAACAACTCATAAGTAGTAGCCATCAGAAAGATTCCGCAAAAAATTAATTTTTCCGGTATGATAATATATGTTACTTTTTTAATAAACTGCTATTAAAATTGTATTAAATACAAGAATAAATATTATTTTCGACATATTTACATATGTTGCTATCTGTTTAAAAAGGATGAAAGAAAACATATTGTTAAATTAACCCTGAGTGAAAACACACAGTGGAATTGTTAGAAACGAAAGACGTGTAGATACTTTAGGTATATTTTTAGAGGCAGAAAAGATGAAAAATAACAAATGCCTTCGCCGGGAATCGAACCAAGGACCTCTGAAATACCGGTCCAGCGTGCAGAACACCTACACCACGAAGGCACGCTAGGAAAGTGGTAGAAATATCTTATAGACGGACACCCTTAAAATGGATGAAATTCACTGGTCGTATTTATGATTTTGTTTAGTTCTCTTTTTTTCTAACATTTTTGTTACTCGGTTCCTGGGGCTTTTGGTTTCCCGGGATTCATAGTTTAATATTTTATTTGTTTGTTTTTCTTTGTTAGTTTTTTGAGCACGGCCGGGTCTCTGGCCCCTCGTTTGTTGTTAGATGGGCCGGCCCTTGTGATAAGTCATATGACCAAGTGTTCTTGGTTGGGTGGGCTAAGGGCTGCGCCCCCCGTTAATTCACCCTTAAAATGGCGGCAATTGGGGATGGGACCGATAATTCTGATATCCAAGATTCAAGAAAAAGACCACTGCTGAAATGGAAAACTGGATTTATACAGAATGGAATTTTTGCTAGGAGTCGTGTAATAAGAAAAAAAAAAGTTAATGAAAAATAAAGTTAAACCAGAAGATGTATATTATAAATAATGTTGATATAAATCAGATTCTGACTAATCATGGGCGTTTCCCGGCTTTCTTTAATCGGTTCCATCTACAGAATAGAATAACGATAAATGCTTAATTTGTGATAAGTTTGGCGACGCCAGGCACTTCGTCGATGAATGTAAGCTTACCCGGAGAGCAAGAGAGAGATATAAAAAGAACTTTAAGGAAGATTTTAAAAGAAACTATTCAAATTTGAAAAATTTTGCAGAGACAATAATGAAGATTATAAATACGAACAAATATAGAATTGGAAACTCAGGTTTTGGACTTTATATGTTTCTTTCTTGTATCTGTTTTTTTTTTCTGTCCAATCCCATTTTTTGATCATACGGCCCGCTTTTGCTGGCTAGGAGGATCGAGGATGTGCCCTTATAATGACATAATAATGATACGTTGCTATTTTAAATAAATTGCTCATGTTATTTCATCAAACTCTACAATTCATTTATATGTTAATGAAGTTCTGTTGAATTATGTTGTTATTATAAATAACGTTTTCAGAAAACTGCATAAAATACTAAAATAAAAGAATTTACATTAAATATCTCCTATATGTGTATATTAAATAACTTATATTGTGACTTAAACGTGTATGTATAACTTAATTGAATGAATTATCTTTTACCATAGTCAATTTTATTTTCGTGCATTTTTATAATATTTGGCAACAAATCGAACTTTCTTAGTCCCGAAATACTCCTTCGCCGTTTTCTCTCGCCAAGGCAAGTACCAAAGACATACAAGACAAATGCCCCCCCCCCCAAAAAAAATAGAGGCAATGAAAAAAATCGGCTTTTAACTTAGGGAACATAAAATCCTGCGTTCCAAACGTATTTTATCTAAAATTCATTTACCTGCATAGAGAGTGAAGATCAGGTTCTCTATAAAGTTCGTAACATTCTTCACAAACTGCGTCCAGACGTGCAAATTTTGATCTGTCGAACATCCCCATGCAGCCAAGCTGGACGAAACTTCTTTTCTGGAGAACGTGGGCCGATTCATTTACGGATACGGCAACAGCTAACAGACACAGTAACATTCGAAGTAACGCCATCTGTCGAGAAAAAGCAGAATCTGAAGCAAAATTACAATAACAAAGCAATTCATGAATTCTTTTTCATTCTAAGCGAATCTTTCATCGTTTTCATCATTGCATAAATCACGCAATAACCATGTTTTGTCACTTAAAAAAAAACAGTTTTTTTTAAAAGTACGAACTTTAACTTTTTATAACGTTTTCGGTTTCTTGGAAAAAACTTTTACTCATTATGAAAAATAGCACACAAAATGTTTCACTTCTGTCAAGCAAAACTAAACGAAATTTCAAAATTTGAGAAATTTGACGCCCATTTTCAAATAGCGTTGAGGGGTAGATTAATAAATAAATTCGAGGTTGATATATTTTCCCTCAAATGCCATTCAGTGATATTTTTTCTTAAGTAACTAGTATGTAATATTCTCTAATTTATAATTTTATTACAGTTGGTGAGTCATAAGAACTTTCACAGAAGAAATTTTTAAATTTTCAAGCACATACTGTTATTGGTACTGCGATGAAGTTTTAATATTTTAGAATTCTTATCCTTTTATAGTATAGAAATTTTATTTAACTAGAATTATTTTTGCAAATCATGCGTGTAAATAATATTACGAATTGTGTATGTGTCAATACTGATGATTTTAGCGTTTTCTAGAACACGAATTCTTTAAGATTTGAAAGAATTTATGTTGATCAATATTTTTCATGAACATTTCATGATTTATGACATTACAGAAGCTCGTCACTTAACCTACTAACAATGAAATCTTTTTCTAAACTGATTCTTAGTCCAAAGGGGCAATTTGCCCAGAAGGACTATTGACTTCGTTTTTCCATTTTGCGTCGATTCACGATAAGCGTTGTTCCACTTTTCAAATTGTTGCCACCAAATACTATCACCCTGTATTATATTTCAAGAAATTAAACAATGAAGAATCTGTATAAATATATGTGTTTCTCGCATTGTGATAAAACAACGAACTACCTAGAACCATGAAAATTTGAATAACGTAATCTTCCATAGAATATAGGCCCGTTCACTTAATTTGAACTTGAAAATTTGTTTTATTATCGACTTCATATTTTGTAACACTTAGCGAATTTTAGATTAACAAACTAAACGATTTCAAAGCGAGCAATGGCAACACTATACGGGAAAAAAATTGGCAACACTATACGGGAAAAAAATTATCTCCAACGCGCGAGACCGTGTATCAGAAATTCTAAGGATAGGCTCAATTTAAAATTTTTTTTGCGATATTGCTTTTGAACTGAATTTTATGGTTTAAGTGCACAGAACATGATATTTAATAAATAAAGGTAGCACACAAAATGTGAAGAAAAGCGCTCCCTTTGGACGTAATTTAAAATCGGAAACCTTTCAGATTTTTTGTTTTGTTTTGTTTTTAATTGCATACAAATGGAATAATTTTGCTCATAAGTTTGTCTAGAGATCCTGAACACGATATTCAAATTTAAAGCGAAATATCTTGGCGAATCTTTGTTGTACGGAAATGAAGTGTTGTGAAAATCCTTTTACATCATGGATATAAAATTTTACTAAATTGGGCAGGCAGAAAGTATAAAAGGTTTGTTTTCATAAATTAGTTTGTTAAATTAAAAAAATGACAAAACATTAATATTTGCATGGTTCGAAATAGTTTTTGTAACTGAAAGTATATGTTACGATCAAAGGTTGCTAAACTAAAAGCCAGGTAAAGGTATTTTGCACATGATTTCTAATAAGCTATAAGGTATTTCTCCCGCCTTCTTAGCATGCCTTCGTGGTGTAGTGCTGAGCACGCTCGGCGCGTATTCGAGAGATTCATGGTTCTAATTCCGGCAAGGGCATTGCTCATTTTTACGTCTCCCAGCATCAAAAATACCAAATGCCTCTACACAAGTTGTTTTTCTTTCACTCGATTCTACTTAGTACTCTTTCCTTTCTTTTTCGACTCATTTTAAAGCTAAAGATTCAACGTTAACTGACATATCCTATATTACAACAGTAGTATCTAGTTGAATATCTAAAGCTGAATGAAGTTTTAAAAAAAAGAAATAAAATTTTTGTATACTACATAATAATATATGTAAGAAAAGTGTAAGTTTTTATTAAAATCGAAATGTAGGTTTTCTCGCGGTATTTTAATAGTTCAAGTATTTGGTTAAGAGACGCTCATTAAATTTCCCTTGAGAACTGGGTGTAGCAACAGAATGTTTCATAAAGTCTGGGTTATTCCGCTCGGAGTCATTCAGACTCCATTAACATTTCACAATAAACAGTTTATTTTGAGGAGTTTGTTGCGAAGTAATTTATCAAAGAAAAAAAGGAAAAAAAGAAAACAGTAAAACATTATTATTTTCTGTCTTCCTCTTTTCTGGAGGGTTAAAGAACATTTTTGTCACCATGCCTGTTTTCATACCTCTAACAAGCATTTTTTATTTCATTATAAATTTCCATGAGCAAAAAAAGCACGAAGCTATGGCACTTAATTTCCAACGAAGCAATAAAGAGAAAATTTTGAGCACAGTTTATATAACTGAAATGCATTTCTTAAAGCCTGCACCATGGGTGATTCATTTATTTGATGCGATTAAAACCTACACAACAACATTATTACATCTGTAAGGAATTATCGAAACGAATCAAATTCGCATACTTGTTATTAGAAAATTAGGAAAATAATTTCACTTAGTATGGGCTTGAAAAATCTCTACATATAATAAAAGAAAGAGTCTGTCTGTGTGTGCGTGTGTCTTTCGTTCGTGTTGTGCGTAAGCTAATAGACCCAGGGCTACGAAATTTGGAACATAGGTGCATCTAGAAAAGAGCCAGTGCAACTCGAAGGTATTCTTTCAAAAGTCGAATCATATTTTTTATATTTTATCTTTTTGGATGAAATCGCATCACTTCGATCACATACTCGTAGTTTTCAATGCTTTGTATACTGGACTGCTGACTGTTGAAAATAAGAGATAAAATATTATTAATTATACTTTCATTTGAAGATTTTTTTCCATGTTAATTATTGCTTATTTCACTGTTTGTAAGACATTGAAAAGTTTTGCATGCCTTCTTTTAGGAAACAAATTTCTTAACTTCCTTTATACTATTTGAATTCTTAAGATTTTGCAACGGGAAGTCGATTAATTAATTTATTAGGATAATTAATACTTGTATTAAGAGATATTGCTTATTTCATTGTAATGTTTTTATATATATAACACATTTTTATTGAAATTTGTGTTTTGTTTTTGATAAAGTTGTTCTGCAGAGTAAAAATGTGCAGTTTCAAATTTAATATTCGGCGTGTCCTTTAGGCATTTTCCCGATACATTTAAAAGCCAGACGAAGGCTGGCCACGTAGCGCTAGTTGTGAAATAAATGAAACTATGAATTGTATAAATTAAGAAACGTAATATAGATTAATTATTTGCTTTAATTTGACCACATATCTCGAATTTGTTGCAAACGTTGCTGTAAAAGTTTGACAATTATTTTGAATTTAGTATAAACAAAAGTTGAAAATTTTCAAATTTAGATGAAATATATTATTTAGGTCGCGCTGAATAATCGAGAGATAAAAATTTAATCAAAATGAAATCGTGAAAAGGGGCAACTTTCCAACAGGAAACGCTCACATCAAAATTTAAACAAAACCCATTCAAAACTGAAAAAACTTCAATAAAGCATAATAAATTGATATAAAATATATAATTACTGAAAATTCCTCATTCTTTTTTAAGGAGTAGCGGAAGAATTTTCACGTTTCTGAATTATATCAAGATAATTGTGAATTCTTGAAACATTTTCAAAATTAATATATAAATGGTAAAAGACAATAAATAAACGATATGAATGGTAAAAGATAATACTATATATTACATATATTTTGTAGAATAATTATTTACCAGGAAGATCACAGTATTTATTGTTTTCTCCTTCTCAAAACAAGAAATCAAGCTAATATTTAAAAGCCTAGCTTTAAAAAGAACCAGACACAGATGGCATTGATAATCACACTATTAAGCTAATCAATCAAGCCCACTTCAATATAATCCGTAGTTTTTGCAATCGAGTTTTGCAACTTCCGAATTTAAAAATTGCCTGAAAATTGGCAATATATTTTTCAATAAGAATAAAAGCCTCAGTGAATCCACATCTAATTGTCTTATCTCCTCCCAGCCTTGGAAAATGTTTAAACAGATGTCTCAATGGCCGCCCGAAATTTCATATTTACAGCAAAAACGTTATCTCTCCATATAATAAAAGAAAGAGTCCCTGTGTTTTTCGTTCGTGCTGCGCGTAAGCTAATAGACCCAGGGCTACGAAATTTGGTAAATAGGTGTATCTAGACAAGAGCCAGTGCATCTCGAAGCGAATATTTTAAAATTCGAATGGAATTTTTTTTTTTAAATTTTTTTCTTTTCGATTTTATCGCATCATTTTGAATAGTTTCACTCTTTTAGAAATGTGGTTTTGGCAACAGTTTTTCATTCAATTGTATACTGCACTGCCGACTGTTGAAAATCGGCCCTGTTGCCATTCAGAGAATGAGGGCGATCATTCTGTGCAGTTTTTAAATTGAATGTTTCTCTTGGATACTGCACGTTTGTCGAGAGAAGTCAACGGGAAGGTGGTTAATTTATTTAGTAGGGTAATTAATACTTATATTAAGGGATATTGCTTCTTTCATTGTAATTTTTTTATCTTTAATACATTTAAAAAAAATTTGTGGGTTTTTTTTTTTTTTTTTTTTTTTTTTATGAAGTTGTTCTGCAGAGTAAAATTCTGCGCAGTTTTTAAGTTTAACGTTTGGTGTTTCCTTCAGGCATTTTTCCGGTACATTTAAAAGCCAGAACAAGGCTGGCAGCTTAACTGCTAGTACGCAATAAACAGTTTAGATTTCGAAGCTTACTATAAAATAGAGGTATATTAATTCTCGTGTTACTTTAAGGTAAAATTTGCTCTACGTAATATGCGCTATAAACTGCAGTGAGAATTTAGGAAAATA